AAGGAAAAACTCTTCTTCAGCCAAGGGTAAGTAGGGCTCACAAAATAAAGACACTTCTCTTCACTATTCATCCATACTAAATTCCAAGTGACAGGAAAAAACAACCAAACCTAAAACGCACTTTATTTATATGTTAAAAAAGAAAGAAAGAAAGAAAGGAACTAGTTGTTATGATGCGAAATACAAAGTCTCATGATTCTCCTCCAGCTGATGTATCAAGCGGTACTCCAGGATGTATGCCTGGTACTCCACAAAAGTCACAATTCATCTATAAATACCTTCTCCTGTCCCTTACCTACCAAGATAAGTAGAAGTCTTACTGTGCATTTACAAAATCTGTCCAGTGTCAGCAGCACATCACTCTTGCTCTCTGAGAACTGATTTTAACAGGACTACCTTTTCCACAAACATCCCCACTGTGTTCCCATTCTAGAGTTTCTTATGGCCTCCGAAAATCCTGACAATATGAGACCAGGGACCAATTTCAGACCAGATGCCCTCACACACTTCTCGAATGCTTCATAAGTGGCCAAAAGGCAACACGTGTGTTGTTTGCTTAATGTTTCAGCTAAAAGCAGCATGTTAAAACCTTGATCATGCCCAATATATCAACAAGAGAGTATTCTGATTCTGCCTCAACGGGAATTCTAAAATCTTAATATAGATCTAGACAAGCACATATCCTAGTTGAGAAGGCAGAAACTGGACACACAGAATCGAGTTAAAATTAAGGTGATGACATACAGGTATTTTGGCCTGAGTCACTAATCCTGAAGGGACAATAGCTGACTGTCTTATTGGTTAGAAGTACTTTACTCAAACCACCTGGGTTAAATTCCTCACTCCCCCAGTAATAAGCCAGGTGGCCTTAGGCAAATTACCCATTATCTCTGTGCCAAAATGTCCTCCTCTATGAGTGCAACTACCTACCTTACAGTTGTTGCAAGGACTAAGAGTGTATACATGTAAAGCACTTAGAACTGTGGGAGGCACACAGTAAGGTCTCAGTAAACAAGGGCATGTAGGTTTCTGTAATTTTTGGCATGGATAACTGAAAAATAGCTGGACTGTGAGGCAGACTACTTTGGTTCCAGAACCAACCCTACCATGACCTAGCATATTCCTTTGGAACTTAACCTGTATGGATCTCAGTTTTCTTATTTTTTAAATAAAGAGATGGGGAAAAATGATTTAGATTTCTAATACACTCTAAAGAGTATGACTGTATTACGTGGCATCACCTACTTCAGCCAAAATGTTGAGATCAGAGTCAGTTATCAGACAGGCCATCTCAATAATCTGGTCCTTCTCAATGTCCAATCCTGTCATCTGCAACCAAAAATAAATATGTAACACACCAAACCATCTTTCTGGTCCATTTTACCCAATTTTATTTAACAGTAATTCCCTCAAGCATTTTCCATTTATATCCCATAGCCAGGATAAAAGAGACAATAATGCTTCTCTGGCAAGCCCCCAAGACACTAAACATGAGTCACTTATTCAGTGAATATTTACCAAGGGCCTGCTATATGTCAGGCACCCCAGTTCTACTGTAGGACAGATGGCAAAGTCAGCAAAATTGAGTGCTGACAGCATTCAATTTGGTAAGAGACTACTCACATCACTACATCTCTGCAGTTTACAAAGTTTTCATATTAATGACACCTCTTGATCTTCATCGCAATCTAATGTAGAAAGCACTGTTATTACCCCCATTTCATATATAAGAAAACTGAAGTTCAACCGAGGGCGGAGTCTGCGGCATGGGTATGGAAAACCTCGAGGGGTCAGAACTGGGTTCTAGTCCTAACTCAGAACCTAACAGCATGACCTTGAATGAGCTCAATCCTCTCTGGGCCTCGGTTTTCTCGTTTATGGAATAAGAGGTAAGGCTGAGTCATCTCCGGAGTCCCGTCCAGCTGTAACAACCTAGGGTCCTGTTAAGACTGCGGAAGGAGAGTCTGGAGTCTAGCAAAGTCGCTGTCCCAACCCCCCCACCCCAGTGACCCTATACCGAGAGGAACCAAAGCGTTAGGGAGGTTTACATCTGGGTGGAGGGGATTGGGGGGAGCCATATGGATGACTCTTCCCTTTGGAAAAGAAACCCCACAGCCCAGCACAATCCCCAACACCTACAGGACTGCAGCCTGCCGATCTGCCCCGTGCAGCACACAGCCCGGCGGCGCTCACCTGCCACACCTGAAACCCGCCGGTGTCCGCGGACAGGCTCAGCTACTCTGTCTACGCGCAGAACCTCACTCGCCTCCCCTCACCCCCGCCGACCGCACTCACCTCCAAGTCCACCCAAACCATCCGCTGAGCCATGCTCTCCCCTGCCGCCATGGCTGCGCCACCTTCGCGGACACCCCGCGACCCGAACTGCCCGCGACTCCCACCCACACCTCGCAACAGCCTGGAGCCCAGGGAGCCGCCTAGCATCACCCGGCACCAGCCGCCACGGCCCCAGCCTCTCAGCCGGCGCTGGCGCAGGCGCGATGGTCGCTAAACGTCGCAAACCCGCCGGGAGGCGCAGGAGCGAAAACCACGAGTCCCAGCATCCTGCGCGCCAGCAGGCCCTGAACAGCCCGGCTTAGCTGACGAATGGGATGATGGGAGTTGGAGTCTCGCCCGGTGTTCCGACCAGTTTCCCCACCCCCGCCACGTGTTTTCGGATGTTACTGGACGCGCATGTTTTTCAGAACTAAGTTTATTCGTTTCACAGAAGTTATTTCCTGAGTTTGGATTAGTTGCAAAGCGCCTAGTTGAAAAAGAAGTCTTACTTTGTTTGGTCAAAAATGACCTAATTATTTATAATTTTTTACCTTTTTTGGTCTCCCCCCCCTTTTTTTTTTTTACCTACCTGCCCCTCCACTCCCCACTGGGTATTTTTCTCATCGACGTAAGGCAGCAGTGCGGTGTGCTTCTTTTTTAGGCCAGAAGGCCAATTCGGCTATCGTCAAATCCTTTAAAAATCCTTGAGATCTCGTGTGAGCGATCTCTTAGCATGCATTAGGTGTTCAATAAGACTTTCCTTCGTTGGCAAAGAGCTGCTCTTTATTCTTTAGGGAGGGAGGTGGTCTGTTTGAGCTCAGCTGTGGGGTGTCAGTGGTAATGACTTCCTGCTCCACCCTTACAAGTCCTCAAAGTTTAAATCTTGTCCTTTTATAACGAATCTATGCAGCAAATTAAAATGAACTAAAAACAGTTCTGCCTGCTCTGTAATCTGCTTTGGTTTTGATCGAGTAATCTCCGATGTAGCTACAGTTTCCGTCATTTCCAGGAGACGGCCATCAACAGAACCTGTTGACCCTGTAGTGTCAATTGCACGAATCTCTTAAATCTTGGCTATTCAGTAGCAAACTTGTGTGCAGAGTGCAACTTTGTCACAAACATTGACTTCAGGCTGGAATTACACCCTCTATATATTTTCTCTGAAAGCCGTATTGCCACTAATTACAGAGCTTGTGGTCCATCGCATAGTAATTCGTACCTGGTGAGCTGGTTTTGTGAGAGAGAAACTTGTTGCCTAATCAGAGCTGTAAGGATAGCATATAGTGTACTGGATGTCACCTTCAACTCCTTTGGTGTACCCAACCCACCTGCCAGGGCACATAGAAACTCTTTGAAGGGTCATGAAATTGCCTGCACAGATTGTATACTTATAAAGACTTTTATTGTGCACAATGTGTATATATTATAACTGCATTGCCTGATGAGTCACATTGTTTTGCTATAGCTTTTTATTCACTGTAGCCTACTTTGTAAGAAACAGTCTACATTTCTTCCTTTTTTCCCTTAGTTTTTAACTTGATTCATAGAAAGTAGAATCAGTTGAAATACAGAAACTTTTATCAATTGGGCTTTTTATCATCCTTCTAAAGTATTATTTCTTTAAATTTTCACAAAACACCTTTTGTTTTCAAAGTTACTACTGAAACATTGTTCAGTTTTATTAGAAATTACAACTTAGAAAATGCTATTTACACTTAAGAACTTATATCCTGAAAATTTATGACCTTAATTTTAAAATATTATGTAGTTAAAAATTATGTGTGGACATTTTTGAAACTTCGGTTTTCATAGTAACTACTTTATAATGATAAAGACACATTTTAGGTGAATGGTGCTATAACGCAAGGAGACTTAGCAGTTGTTGGTTTTTGTCTGTAATATTGTTACATTAGTGATCTTAAAGATTAATGTCCCAAAGCAGAGCACCATACGCACCAAATTCACAAATCCCAACCATGTAAATGAGGACAGACACAAGAACAGGGAACATTAGAATCTGCAAGCAGCTTCATCCGGTGGTGGGCTCAATCATTTCTCTGTCTTTTCCACACAACTCTGGTCAGAGACTTTGCCTTTTCATTTCTGTTCAGATCCTATAAAAACTGCTTTTATTAATTAACAACAAGGTTATAGTGCTAAGAAATCTTGTTCTCTAGTATCATAGACTGATAAACTTTGCTGTTTGGAGTCATTTTAATGAGAATAGAACATCTCCTCTTACTTAAAGAATCTGAGCCTTTTGAGTCACTGACACAGAAAAGCTGCCTTAATTGTCACCCCAGGGGCAGAGATTCAGATAAAAGGTTTTCAGACACAGCATTCCACATTTATCTTGACTTTTTTGTTTCTAAATAAACAGGGCTCTGAGTCAGCTTCTCAACACTGGGGGTAGTCAGACTATGATGTTTCAAACAGAATCAATGACAATGTTTCTAACAGAACATGACCAAGGCCACACAAATACTCCCCTAATTAAGAGATCACTAGTTCTTTTTTATGTTTTTTTACTTTTATTTTCTTAATTGTGGTAAAATAAATGTTCCTATTTTAACCATTTTTAAGTGTGCAGTTGAGTGGCATGAAGTACGTTGTTGTGCGACCGTCAATGCCTTCCATGTCCAGAACTTTCTCGTCTTTCCAAACTGAAAATACATGTCCATTTAAACACTAACTTCCCATTCCCACCCACCCAACCCCCTCACCCAGCCCTTGGCAAACACCATTCTACTTTCTGTCTCACTGAATTTGACTACACGAAGTATCTCATATAGGTGGAATCACACAATATTTGTCCTTTTATGTCTGGCTTATTTCACTTAGCACAATGTCCTCAAATTTCATCCGTGTTACAGTGTGCATCATAATTATCTTCCTTTTTAAGGCTGACTGATATTTCATTATATATATATGGCACATGGCATCTTGTTGATCCAGTCGTCAGTTGATGGACACTTGGGTTGCTTCCACCCTTAGGCTATTGTGAGCACTGACATGGTTTTTAATATTATATATTTATATATATATATATTTTTTTTTTTTAATTGGGCTTTCTCACCAGAACTTCCCCAGACCTGCTTTGCTCTCTCACTTCCTAAGCAAAGATTACTGTGATAATCAATCCAGAGGTGATCCCCACTCCCCCTGGTTCCTCTTTAGAACTATTCCAAACTCTACCTTTTAAAATGTCCTTCCCTACTACTCCCTCTTAAGAGAGGCCCCTGGTTCCTCCTGTTAATTGTGACAGCAAGTTCATAAAACTAACACTGTTAAAATTGTGTTCTAGTGAACTTTATCTGATATGCTTTACCTACATCCTATTTAACTAGACTTTTATTTCCAAACACATTTATTTGTGTACTTTCATAAGACTCACACGGAGCCATATAATAAGGGTAGTAGTACTAGTTAGTAGTCACCAAAGTAATGAAACTATTTCACACCTGTAAACTGTCCTACAGTTTATAAAATATTTTTAAACAGGCAGTAGGTACCTCATGAATACTTACCAGTTGATGTTAATATCTCTTCCTTTCAACGGCTTTGTGGAGCTTAGTCTTGAGAAATGTTGACATCAGGTTTACTGCTGTTAATTACTGACAACTGCTATTTACTTCAATCTAGTGATCTGGGGAATAAAGGATGATAAATCTTTTGCCTTTACCCTTTATCACTGTAAAAAAAAAGTAAAAATAGAAGCCAAATATAATCTTCAAAATGCACCTTGTATAAAATTGACACTCTATAAAGACTTTCATGAAATTTGAACTGCATTTTATCTCGATTCAGTTCAACAAACGCTGAATCCTTGGAGTGTATCAAACACTGTGCTAGAATATCAAAGTAAAAATACAATTAAGATGATATTTATTATACCAGACACTGTAGGCATTTAAGATATTAAAATAGGCTTACCATCTAAGAATAAGATGGTTCATTCTGGGTTTAGAGTTCTTCCTTTGCAGATAAGGAAACAGCTTTACTTTTTCCATCTGTAAAATGGGTTGCATGATTAAGCAAAAACATATAAATATCTAATACATTACATAATAGGTGCTCATTTATTTCTGGAAGCAAATCAGAAGATACAAAATTTAATAAAGAGAGTTGTACCAATGCTTTAAAGGATTAGAGAGGGCTATGGGAATATAGGGGAAAGGGGTTCATTTTGTCTGAAGAGATACAGGAGGTTGGACATTGAATTTGATCCTTAAAAAAGGTAACTTTGACAACAGATAGTATGGTAAGCCTATCCCAGAGAGAAAGAATATCTTGAACTTAAGCAACTAGAATGATAAGTCTTTAAAATAAGAGAGAAACCCAAAAGAGAACGAATGCAAGAGGTACAAGTAAGAGTTCTGGAAAGGTTGGAGTCACACTTCCATTGGGACAACTACACAGAGGTATCCAGCGGGCAGCCAGGAAGAGCGCACGGAAGGAGACGTGAACGTGGAAGTCATGTACAGAGACGGGATAGATGGAGCAATGGGAGAGAAGAAGGTTGCAAGTTGTCTAAAAAACACAGCTATAGGCTCAGGCCAACCTTAGGAACTTCGTTTTTTCGCAAAACTAATTTTTAAACCCAGTTTGCACGTAAAGAAGATTCTCAGCTGGATTTATGCATGTTGGCACATATTGAACCAAGCGGTGAAGCAAGCCCACAAGAAGCCAATTTCTTGGAAGAGTAAGGAGTATTCTTGGAGAGAAATCAGCTAAAGGAAGCAGCAGCCAGAAACAAAGAGCACAGGGCAGCATGGAAGCGGACTAAGTCAGAGGGAGGAAAACCGTAATTCTGACAGCATGCAACTATCATGTAGTAGACTGTCTCCTGGCTTAGTCCCTACTGGTTGTGTGTCTAAGGTCCACGAGAACGGAGAGGTGTCCTAAGAGAGCGTTTTCAATAAAAAGCACATATGTCGCTTGAGTTCTCCACCAGCACAACAAAATAAAAGACAAAACTGAAGCAAGGCAGCAGCAGGCATGGGAACGAAGAGGAGTATCTCTTCCCACTCCTCATACTGGCCTTCCATGCAGAAGAGCAGCCACTGGCATACCAGTCCTGGCCCCACGCACCTGGCCTCTCTAATTTCTCCATGAAAACGCGGAGTAACATTTCAAGACTTGGAACAGAAAATCAGGCAAGGGCAACCTGGTACAAAGGCAGTGTCCTAGGGGGTGGGCGTGTTTAGAAGTCCTACAAGTATTTGGGCAGGAGGCTTAGCAGAGCCGAGGTCCTGTGTTACTCCGGTGGAGGGTCCCAGAGAATTAAGTGTGAGTCCTTTCTGTCACTGGCACCCACAGGTTGTTCAGATCTAACCACCTCCCTGTGCTACCAGGCTACCTTGGTGATTTCTGGATATCTTGATAACAACCTTGAATCAACTAGTAATTGTCACTGCAACCAAGTTTAGACAACTCTATAATATATTCTGAATAGTCCAAGGTAAATGCTACCGGAAATTATGACATCGGGCTAAAGCAGTCTAAGTAATTATTGGACAAAAGAAAATGTGCATGAATATTCAATGTGGGCCATGTATAATAAAAAAAATGGGCTTTGGATACAAACTAGCTAAATTCAAACCCTACCTCAGCTCATTTCTACCTATATTTCCTTAAACAAGTAGACTCTAGTCTCTCTGAGACTCTTTCCTCATCTTCAAAACACTGAGAGCACTATGGCATTTGAAAAATTATTGTAAGAGCTTCAGATACTATGCATAAAGGCAGGAGAATACCTGGCATGTGGCAGGTGCTTAATAAATAGTATAAATAAATCATCATTATTATTTAACAGACCCAACTCACCATTTATAAATACTGACCATTTCTGATCACGTAGCCAGCATCTGAGAAAACAGACTGTGGCAGAGAGTGAGCATTACCTATCAAATACCCCTCTTTCTTCATGCATATTTCTCAGTTTTAGCAAGACACTTTGTCATCCTTGTGGCTGGCTGTGGTCATGTGACTGAGTTCTAGCCAATCATATTATTGGATTTCCAAAAGTTTTCTTGAAAAGAATTGATTTATCCTTCCTGATACTTAGAATTTTGGCACAGTGGCTAAAGCCTTAGTACCTATCCTGCACCATGATACCATCTTAAGCATGGAACTAGTGGTGAGGATGCTAAAGCAGAAAGATAGGAATGATTTTGGTCTCTCTATGCGTGGTGACTTAGGGGAGCTTCCATACTACCTAGAAACTTGCTGGAGGTGAAAGAAAACTCCCTACTTTGTGAAGCCACTATTTTTGAGCCTCTGTTTTTGATAACCTAACACAATTCCTAATCCCTACAGAACATGCTTTGGAGATTGCCTATATTTAAGTGGTGAGTGAAGAAAAAGGAAATCAGAAAGATAACTATTGGTCAAAGTGGTAGGAATAAGAAAAGTTTCAAGAAAAGGCAGCATTACAGAAAATAAAGGAAGAAAAAATTTGAAGGTGTGAGTGAAGTCTTTGGTATCAAACTCAGGATGAATTCAGAAAGATGTCATTGTATTTGGTCATTAGAACATAAAATTCGGGGTGGCTCGGTTCGCTGGGTGTCCAACTCTTGGTTTCAGCTCAGGTCATGATCTCAGGGTCCTGGGATTGAGCCCCACATGGAGTGTGGAGTCTGCTTGTCCCTCTCCCTCCCCCTCTGCTCCTCCCTCCCGTCTCACACACTGTCTCTCTCTCAAATGAATGAATAAAATCTTAAAAAAACACACACACAAAATTTCGCTGCAGCTTGAGAAACAAATCAGAGAACTACAAGTTGACAAAGTGAGTAACAAAGGTTCTTTCTTGGTGCCTTGGAGAGAATGGAAGAGAAGCAGCATAGGAGCGAACAAGTTTGTTAAGAGTAAGAACCACAATGCCACTGACAAGAAAAGCTCAAGAAATACAGGGAAAGAGGTAGAGAAGAATGAAATTGAGAAAAAGGTATCTGCAAAAGATTCTGGGAGAACAAATCACAGAAGCACAGCTGCTGGGACAAGCCTCAGAATGATCACTTTCACAAATGAAATCTTCTCCTTTGAATGAACACTGGCTTTTAAAATAATTATATTGTCCTGACAAAATTTTTCAAACGTTAAGTGCTGACAGCAGTAATTCTATTTCTACATGGTAAATTAAGTGCCACCTTCAAACACTTGCATTAAATTTTAAATGAGCATAACAGCACTCAGAATGTAATTCTGAAAGGGGAAAAATCTTGCAACACCAACAAAACACGAGGAAAAGTAATTGTTGGGAAAAGTACATAATTAGCTTTCCATTATTTTTAAAATTGTCACTAACAGCAAATAGACTAAGAGTAAACTAATACACCAGAAATATGTTCATGAAATTAGACCCTCTTCAGAGCTTATCATTTACCTTTGAATTTTAGTCATCTTGTGCCACAACCAAAATTTTAATGACCTGTTTCTTTTTCCCCTCATTGTACAGATCTCATTTTATTTCACAGAACTTATTACTGATACAGCTCAATGTAAGCATTGCTCTAAAGGCAAACTCTACAAACTCCTTAGTACTATTTCATTCTTCAAATTTATTGTATCTAGTTTGCTTCCTGTAAAAGCAATAAGAAATAGCTACTTCACTTTAGAGAATACTTTGATGACTAATCCTAACTATTCAAATAGGAAGACATCCATTTCCTATCTTCTGATTCTGCACTGACCTCAAAGTAGCCTTTGAATTCCATTCTGAGAAGAAAAGGTATGGATTTAAAAATTACAGACATAAAAAAAACTAATAAATTATTTTCACTTTTTTTGCCCCATCTGTACAGTGATTCCCAAAGCAAAACACTTCATCTTGGGAGGGTCGGGGATGGGGGTAACATTTAGTACTAGGGTATTTGAGAGTGTGAGTTTAGGAGTAAGAAAGACCTACATTCAAATTCTGATGCTATCTGTGTGACCTTGGGCAAGTAATGAAAACTGTCTACATTTCTTGTTTTTCGCTCATAAAATAATAGTAACAACCACTTCCTACAATTACTCCTTTCATTATGATAAATGAAATAAGCCAGACACAAAAGGTCAAATAATGCATGCTTTCACCTATAGAAAATATCTAGAAAAGGCAAATTCATCGAGGCTTAAAGTCTGTGGGCTGAAATGTTGGGAGTGGGAAGGGCAGTAGAATAGGAAGTTACTACGTAAAAGGTACAGAGTGTGTTTCGGGTGACAAGAAAATTTTGGAAATACAGAGTGATGGTTGCACAGTGTGAATGTACTAAATGCCACTGAACTGTACAATTTAAGATGGTTAAAATGCCAAATTTTATATATTTTACCACAATAAAATTTTAAATGGAATTATTTCTTTATGAATAGGAATTAAAAGTTTTAATTTAAAACTTACAGATCGCCAAATTTGGAGGGAGGCCCATCTTAAAATAGAAACTAGAGGACCTCAATCTGTGACTTGATGTGTTTATACTCCAGCCACAAGTCATTTTACATTCAGGCCTGAATGCCTATTATCTGTGGGCTTCACACAATCATAGTCAAAATCATAATTGGATTTTTCTTCCAACTTGAAAAATTACGTTTTCTTGATTATGTTTTGAATTCTGGAAAAAAAAAAGGCATTTGTTTAATAGTGTTGGGAGAAACAGACAAGCAAAAAAACTGGTTCGATCAGAACTTCACAAAATACACTAAAATAAATTTCCCAAATGGATTAAACACTTAAATATAAAAACAAGGGCATAAAAAATCCTGAAAATATGTGACTATTTATTTTGGGACAGGGAAAGAATGTATAATTCTCAAAATCGCAAAGAAACCACTCAAGAAAAGATAGTTTTCATCCCCCACCCACTCATGTGCACACACACACATTTACTATTTATTTCAATACTTAAAAAAATATTAGAAGCAAAATTAACTACAGCAGTCCCCCCTTATCTGCAAGATAGTTCCAAGACCCCCAGTGGATGCAAGATAGTACCTAACCCTATATATACTACGTTTGTTTCTTATACATACATACCTATGATAATGTTTAATTTATAAATTAGGCACAGTAAGAGATTAACAACAATAATAATAAAATAGAACAATCATAATATATACTGTAATAAAAGTTATGTGTACGTGGTCTCTTTCTCTCTCAAAATATCTTATTGTAACTATATTCATCCTTCTTGTGATGATGTGAGATGATAAAAGGTCTAGTGCTGAGAGGATGGGAGGGGAAGACGTAGACACTGTGACAGACTGAGGCTACTACTGAAAGATTGTCAGAAGGAGGATCATCTGCTTTCTGAACACAGCTGACCGTGCGTAGCTGAAACCACAAAGTAAAACCACGGATGGGGGAGGATTCCTGTAACTGGGGAAAATATTTACAAGAAACATTTCAAACAAAGCTCTGATATCCCCAAATACAAAGAGTTTTCACAGATGAATAAGAAAAATCAAAACCCTAGTAGAAAAATGGTCAAAGATTATGAACAATTCACGAAAAAACGGAACTGGCTGAAACAAAGTAGCCAAACACCCAATTTCATTAATGATAAAAGTGATTTAAAATTAATAACCACTATTTTGATGGAAATACCAATAGAATGGTTTAAAAGTAGACAGTCTAAGTTGCCACAGAAAAATTAACATAAAAAAATCAACATGCAAGAATAGCCAGCAAAATTTTGAAAAAGAAGACCAATAGGGTGGGTGTGGAATAGTCCTACAATAATTAGGTTCTAGGGCAGGAATAGCCAGACATTTGTAGATTGTAATGCCCAGAAATAGACAATACAAGGGGGGCTTTAGACACCATTTCATATAAGTGATGAAAGATGGACTGATAAATTTTGTTAGCAACTAGGCAGTTATCTGGAGAAAAAATTAAATTGGCTCCTGACTTCAAAATTTACACCAAAATAAAATCTAAATGGATTAAGCATTTAAATGGGAAAAATTAAAAATAAAATTGCTAGAAGAAAACAACAGTAGTTGTTTTTAGTTGTGCCATTTGCAGAATCTAGGTCCTGGAAGAATAGTATGGCAGATTTAATTTTTAAAGATGGTCACAACCATAGCTCCTGTCCCACATTCTTCTCTTGCAATATGATCTTAAAACTCCTCTCATTGATCACTGAGCTCTGTGTCCCCTCTCCATGAACTAGGGTGGACCACTGCGGCTTTTTTGACCAGAAGAATATAGCAGAAGTGACTTCTCAGGCTAGATTATAAAATACTTCCACCTTGCTCTCTTGGAATGCTCACTCTTGGAATGCATTCACCATGCTAAAAGGAAGCCCAAGCAGGACCACATGGCTAGGAACCAAACCACTCAGCTCACAACCTTGGCTGAGCTCTCAGCCAATAGCCAGCACCAACTTGAAAGTGATATGAGTGATCCATCTTGAAAGTGGATCATCCAGCCGTGAACTGAGTCACCCCAGTGATGCTAAGCAGAGAAGAGACATCCCTATTGAGTCCCAGCCAAATAATTTTTTTTTTAACACTGAGTTTTGGGGTAGTTTAGGGTTAGGGATTAGGGTTAGAGGTTAGGAGAGGGAGAGAGAGAGAATCTCAAGCAGGCTCCACGTTCAGCACGGGAGCCCAACTCAGGGCTCGAGCTCATCACCTTAAGGATCATGATCTGAGCCAAAATCAAGAGTCAGACACTTAACCAAGTGAGTGACCCAGGCACCCCAAGGAGATAAAATCTTTAAATATTAATGGCAATCTGAAACTAAAATCCAAGTAATTGTGATAAAGCACTGAAGGTGGTCTATATGCTTGTGGTGGGAGAGAAGCGGCAAGGAAAGTGAAGGCATGCTAAAGGCATTTTCTTGGTGGGGTGCAAGGGTGTCAGATACAATATTGCTGTGGTGGTTTGGCACTGTATCAGGTTAGTTAGGGCGGAACTTTGGCTCCCAGAATCTCCCCCACCCCCCTCTAGTTCCATTTAGAGTTGGTGTTCTTTAGTAAAGATTTTGACTGGCCTTTGTGTCTGCTCCCTAAATCCTTGGAATTTCCCAAGTGAGAAGAGTACCTTTGCGATTCTTGGATATCCTAGATAGTTTCAGGACTGGATCTGGCCATGCTGGAAAGATCAGCCACGTGATTAGAGCTGAGGCTTTGAGCCACTTGATACCAGTCCAAACTCCTGGGAGAGTTCAATCTCATGGCCAAGGTTCAATCAATCATGAAACCCCAGTAAAATGAAACCCCAGTAAAAACTCTGGACACAAAGCTTAGATAAGCTTCCTGCCTGGTACCACACACTGATGTACCATGAGGGTGATGCACCCTGACTCCATGGGAAGAGGACACAGAGTCTTATATTTGAGACCCTCCCAGACCTCACCCTATGTCTCTCTTTTGTCTCATTTGATTTGTATCCTTTTGCTATAATAAAATGTAATCATAAATATAGCTCTTAGCTGAGTTCCGGGAGTCATTCTAGTGAATTACCAAACCCGAGGGATTAGTGGGAATCCCTGAATTTGTAGCCAACTGGTCAGAAGTGTGGGTGGCCCAGGAATCACTGACCTTGCAGCTGGTGTCTGAAGTGAGGGCAGTATCTAGAGGAATAAGCCCTTAACCTGTGATGTTTGGCCTAACTCCAGATAGTTCGTGTTAGGACTGCAATGTAGTTTTGACCACAAGAGAAATTCACTTGAGATTTGGACATCGTAAGGAAAGGGTGGTCATATTTTTTACACTGCAGAGGATCAGCAGTGGGTGCCAGCGTACCTCATGCACATTGCTATCTCCTGGTTCACCTTGCTGGCGTGGGGCAGCACCCAGCCCATGGCTCCTCCAGGTCCTGCCACATGTCCTCCAACTTCTCTGAGTCCTGAGCCAAAGATACGTGCAGTTCTGTAGCCAAGAGAGCCGGTTACACCTGCAGGCATCATCTGAGTCATCTAAGGCAGAGTGATGAGAGACAGATGCAAGCTCTGTGTCTGTTTTCTAGCAGTTTCCGGTTTGCTCCTGCTCCTGTTCTTGTTCAGCTTTTCTTCCCAGCTGTGGATCTGGCAAACTTATTTATGACTTCAGGCCCAACACCAGATGCAGGGCAGCAGATTTTTCCACCTGCAATCACAGCTGTGTAAGGTTAAATCCCCACAGTAAGTCCCTTATACTTTATCACTCTGATTTTACCTTGACTGCTACAACTGTTTCAGTCTGTCTGATAAAAGACTATAAATTTAATATGATGGATGAGAATTTAAAGGAATACACTGCAGGAATAGAAATAGTATGACACTAGGGTTTTCAATTCTGACTACATACCAGACTCTTTTAAAAAATACTGATACCACTCTCCTCCCCTGAGATTCTGGGGTAAAGTTTAGGCATTAAGTTGATTTTTTTTTTTTTATTATGTTATGTTAGTCACCATACATTACATCATTAGTTTTTGATGTAGTATTCCATGATTCACTGGGCATTAAGTTGATTTTTGAAAGGGGATTCCAGTCTGCATCCAGGGTTATTAAATGCTGCCCTGGAAGGAAGGAAAAAAAAGAGAAAAGGTGATCAATCCTATAAACCTATATACGCAAGTAGGTAAAGCAGGAATAAATTAAAATATACCTTACTATAAGAGATATTCCTAAAATCAAGTGACATAAAGGTATTAAAAATTAACAAATAGACAAAAACAAAGCAGGCCAATATTAACAAAAAATAAGATGTGAAACAGCAGTATAAAACAGAATAGAGTCCAAAGTTAATAGCATGAAGATGGGTCAACGATATTTCCATTAATAACCGATTACAGGACACGGGGAAGGAACGTCATACCTCTTTTTGCATCTAGCAGCGCTTCAGGATATGCACTAACTGCACGATGTATTATTACTCAGAGAAAATGATAAATTAAAATCATCTCTTTCAGAACTAAGAGATCAAGAAGAGAAAAATATACAGAACTTAAAACATGTAATTAATAGAACTTATCTACCATATTAGCACATTTAACTCCTTGAATTCCACATAACCGATTTGTTGGGTTAACTGATGTTCTCCATTCTTTCTGTAATAAATGTCTTTGTCCTTGACATATTGCAAGCTAGGTGCTAGTCAACCCCTCCTCTATGTTCACCTGTTCTTGCTCTTACTAGGTAAGTGGTTCCAAACCTGCTTATGCTAGTTCTCATTAATATAACTTCTTAACCTGAATATTATATAAGCCAGTGAATAAGAACATGAATGTGAAATATGAATTTGTAAAATAACAATTTCTAGAAAACCAGTTGAATACTTGGTAATGATTCAGTAAGGATAAATCATGGTAAGAATTTGCTGTCAGATTAAATGTGTGCAAGACAACTGTAAAAAAAAAAATACATATGAATCCTAGAAAACTTGAATCCTTCACAAGTTTCTCTGCATTTGTATTCCACTATAAAGAAACCCAAAATGGAAATTACAGGCAACGCAGTCTGGCAGTGATTTATACAAGAAAGGCCAACTAAACTCCAACTGGTGTAGCTAGATGTAAGGAAAAGGCCTTGGCCCTACATCAAAAGATTGGCAGATGAATGTATATCTATGTGTATTAAATTAAAATGGATGCATTTTCATTTTTTAAATGACTCCTCATTCTAACATGTTTGATTTACAAATCTTGTCAGGTAAGAGATAATTTTGTAAAAACAGAATTTTGAGACAGAGAAAATAAATGTTTTTCAAACATGCATGGAACCATTATAAAAATTGGGAAAAGAAACCTTTAGGCAAATACCTTGCAGACATCACATAGTGCGGGATGGAACTCACAGGCAGAAGGGCCAGCCAAGGAGGATGGGTGTGGCTCCAGGTTCTCCTCAGCAACCCTAGGATAGGTGTGCGGGCCATGAGTCAGCATAGTTAGGTCACTGCCAGGAAACCTACAGAAAGCCTGTGATCATCCAGCTAGTGACCTGGTTCGTATCTCTACAAGTTTATGTCACATTGGCCACATTCTCTGTCCACAAGCTATAAAATTAAAAGTCACAGTAGAAGAAAAAAAAAGTCACTTAGAAATTTAAAAAGGATCTAAACAACTCAATTTAGAGAGAAAAATCAAACATAAAAATACAGACCATTTAAAGGAAGGATGGTGAGTACACTACATGTCAAAACCCAGGAATTACCTTCCACTTCCAGTCAAGATGGAGTAACAAGGATTTACCCTCCTGCCCAAAACAACCAATACACACAAAAAAGCACAAAACAAGACAATTGGACACCAGGTAGAAAGGACAGTGATCCTGAAAAGCAGGAGACGAATGAGGTAAGCTTTACGATTGCCTCAGCTTGCTGCCTTGGGGGAATTTCCAAGCTGCAGTGTGGTTTGGGGGCAGGGTGGGCAAAGCCTGGCAAGTTCCACGGGTTGAGGAGCTAAGACTGAGAATCTAGGGAAACCAAGCCAGCTAGAATGTCCAGTACACAGGACTGAAGAGGGTTAAGTTGCCCAGGAGAAAACTCTCAGAGATCTGCAGGTTTCCTCCAGTATCCATGAGAGTAATGAACAGCATAAAGGTTTGAAGAGATTATCTAAGGCTGAGAAAAAAAATTGTCCCAAAAAGTCAGAGGGAATACGACTCAGCACTCACATAGGACCAGGAACAGTATCTGTTCCCAATAGTCAGACCAAAAGTCTTGGTAATTCATGAGGCACCTGTTACAGTATCCAAGAGTTTTGCCTCAGTCAGTTATGGGGTGAGTTAATCCTAAATAGTTCTCAAATTCTGCCTAACAAATCTTAAATCATGTCCTGGATACAATGGTTTACAAGTAACGTATGTGTGTCCCAGAACAAAGCTCAAGAATATTTATAGAAATACAAACTATCAAGTATCCAGTAAGGTAAAATTCATATTGCCTAGCATTCAATCCAAATGACAAGGCATGCAAAGAAGCAGGAAAGTACATCCAATAATGAGAGTGAACCAACAGACACCAACTGAGAACTGACAAAAATATTAGAATTAGCAGGCAAGGACATTAGAAATTACTATAACTTTATTCCATTTGTTGAAAATTTAAGTAAACATAGTGAAGATATAAAAAGAAGATCCAAGTCATGTGCTAATTAACTGGGGTGGGGGGCGGAGAACCCTCTCACAATCACATGTATCGAATCATGTTGTATACCTTAACGGGCTTACAGTTTTGTCAACTGTACCTCGACAGAGCTGAAGAAAAAGAGTAACAATCAGAAGTGATGTAAATCCAACTTCTAGAGAGAAAAACTATAATGTCTAAGATGAAGATTACACTGTAATTGCTGACTAGACACTTCAGGAAAAAAAAAAAAAAGACAAGTGGGGTTGAAGACCTAGTAATACAACTATCCAAAATGAAACAGAGAAAAAATAATTTAAAAAATAAACAGCATATCAGTGAGCTACGGGATAACATCAAGAGGTCTTATATAAGTGTAGTTGGAGTTTCCAAAGAGGAAATTGAGGACAAAACTTTTAATAATGGCCAAAATTTTCCCAATTTTGATGAAAATTATAAACCTGCAGATCCCTGAAGCTCAATCAACTCCAAGCAAAAGGAACATGGAAAAAACTGTATTAAGACACATTATCATCCAATTGCTCAAAATCAGCCAGAGAAAAATGACACATTATGTACCTAACAGCATATTTCTTACAGGAAAAAATAACAAGCAGGAGGACAGTGAAGCCACATTTTTAAAGTATTGAAAGGAAAAAAAAGGCCTGTCAAGTTAGAATTCTGTACCCAACAAAAAGGTATTTCAAAAACAAAGGTGAAAGATACTTTTTCAGACACGAAAGCTAACAGAATTCATCACCAGCAAAGCCAACACTGTAAGAGATACCCAAAAAACTTCAAGTAGAATACCAGATGGATAAATGGATCTACACAGAGGAACAAAGAGCACCAGAAATGGTAACTATTGGAATAATAAGATTTTTATTTATAAATCTCTTTAAAAGAGAATGTTTAAAAAAAAACAAAAACAAAAACAGGGCGCCTGGGTGGCTCAGTCAGTTAAGTGTCTGCCTTCAGCTCAAGTCAAGATCCCAGGGTCCTGGGGTAGAGCCCCATGTCGGGCTCCCTGCTCAGTGGGGAGCCTGCTTGGAGAAGGCTGCCTGCCGCACCCCCCCCACCACCACCACTCTGTCAAGCAAATAAATGCGCTTTAAAAAAACAAAAAAAACAATGCAGTGAGGGGCTTTTACATATATAAACTGTGAAACAGCACAGCTTCTAACAAGTCTGACCAGGATGTAGGAAGAAATATATCACGAACTAAAACTGGACTCTAACTGGAGGAAGAGTTTAACAAAAATTGTAAGAAATACCATGTACTTCTATCAATTAATTTGGAAAGATAAAGAAAATGGTTGATTTTTTTTAGAAAGGTATGAATTATTCAAATTGATTTCTGAGAAAGTAGGAAACAGTTTCCCCCATGGCTAATAAGGAAAAATGGGGGGAAAATCATTTATTTCTAAGACTGTTTTATGAGTTCAACAAGTCTTAAATTAACAGATAATTCCTGTATTATTCAATTTTCTTGCCAGGGCATAGAAAAAGATAAGCTTACCAATTCATTCCATAAAACTAGCAGAACTATAATTCCCAAACCAAGATAATAAACAATTTTTTAAAGAAAACCTCATGAATACATATCTAAATCTTAACATTTTTTAAAAATAGAATTCTAGAGTGTTAATGGCACAGTATCTTGTAATATAGAGTTTTTATAACAGGATGAAATGATGGTTCAGGATTAGGAAACCGATAAAAAAAAGAATACTATGCTGAAGCCTCCCTTTTTTATTCAATTATTTGACAAATGTTCATTTACTCATCAAAAATTTACCAAGTATTACTGTAGTGCCAGGCACTGGATAATGAGAATTCAGTGGTAAGACATGGTCTCTGCCTTCATGGAGCTACCTAGAGAGATACAGATAAAAAGAAAATTAACACAGTATAAGGCTATGACAAAAAAAATACAGGGTACTATTACTGCATTACATAAATTGGCACATTAGGGTGCTGTTGGAATAATCCTGTTGAGGATGACTGCCCCTTCTCAGATGATGGCGGTTGGTGTGAGGAATATGGACCTACGAAGTATGATTAGAAAGTAGTATCAAAAATGTTGGTTGATTGGATAGAGAAGGGTTGAGTCAGATTCTTTGGGGTCTTAATATCTTAGTGTTAGGCACAAAAGGGTCAAATAAGTTCGGAAAATACTAGGTTAAGCATAAAGATTTCTTTACTGCAGTACTTGTCAGAAGCTTTGTGGTGTTGTCACTAAGAGAAAGACACCCAATGTTAGATAGTACCCAACTTTACCAAAACACTTGATTACAGAACCCTTATTGTGCAGAACACCTTGTGAGAATGGTGGTTCAGGAACACATGGGGAGAAACTGCTCCCACAGAAACACCTCTTCCTTCCTACTGCAGCTCCCAAACCGACGTGAATCATCTTACTAACTATATTCAGTTTGTTGAGACTGTCTTGTTTGATCCCTTTACACAGGACATTTATTGGTTTGACTACCCTCAACTGGGAGAGATTGAAGTGAAAAAGTTTCGCTGAAACCTCAAAAGGGGTGTGTCCCAAGTCATTAAAAAAATAAAAAGATTATTCCGAACCAGGATTACCTATGAATCAATATGAAAAGAACTGACCCAAAGATAAACTGCAATAAAGCAGAATACATCTTTGTGAATCTCTATAAAAGCTAACAAATATTCATACAGGTAAGATACCTGAGAACAAGCTCATTGGAAACAAATCCTTCTATTAAACTGCTAAAGCAAACAGAAATTTTTGATCCTAAATGCTCTCCATGTTGAGTAAATAATTCCATTTGCCTAAAACTGCATGCATTTTATTTACAAACAGGGAAGACCTGAGAGTACGTGAACTCTCAGAGGCTAACTTGAACTAGTTAGCTAATGCTCAGAACTATAATCCACGTCACCAAAAATCTGATTCTAAAATATTAAGTTCTATATGTACAAAAGGAGTATTTCAGGATGCTCTAAGAACAGACATTCTTAACATTAGGCAATCACTGAATTGAAGCATATTGCTAACGTCGTATACAGTAAGTGATGTCAAAAAAATAAGGCACGGTCCTTTTTGTCTTCAATATATTAAAAAGCAACAGTACAAATGCTGTGATTAATACTAAAAAGGATCAAAAATTTTCAAGGAATGATATTTTTATAAACAAGTTCTACAACAAAGAGGAAACAGCATCTTGATACACAAAAGTTCTGCTAAACAAGATCTTAAAATTTTTAATCAGAAAATGTTTAAGACTAAATTCTTTCAAATGTTCAAACAAAAAAGCGACCTGTACAATCTCCATAATAAAATGTATCCTTATACACATGTCCTGGGCACTTTGAAAATGTCAGAATTTTAAAAATTTGAGTGTTAGAGGCAGCACTTAAAGGCTTCAGGAACCTTTTTTTTTCCTCACAAAAGCATACTTTCAGTAAAACATTTTACCATTTTTATCTGACTATGCATTTACATTTGTGTTATTCCTGAAAAGGGGGATTTATATTAACACTGTATTTTTAATGTAAAAAAATACATTTAAAAATATTTAACTTCCTGAGTGACTTCAGCTATACATCAAACATGACTTAATGAGCAAATTCTAAAATTTTAGAATGAGATAGCATGTATAAATTTACAATTTTATGTTCAATTGGAGTAAAATTCAAAAGACCAGGTCACAGAACTTACACTAAGAATTCTCTAAGAAGTCAAATATGATTTATCCCCAAACTTTACCAATAAACTTTCTACATAAAATGTTAGTAAAATGAATCACTGAAATTAATTTTCTCATTTAACAAAATATTGATAGTCAATTCAGACTATCAGAACTTGAATGTTTTCATTATACACACCAAAATCTGATTCACTAACAAGAAACTTCTTGCAATACAAAAAGATAACAGATAATTAAAATATTTGCTTTATAATACAACCAACACATATAATACATCCTCCTTCCTCATTTGTCTAAAATGATTAGGAATTGTGGCTCTTTCTTTTGCATAAAACCCTTTCCTCTTCATAAAACCCTGAGGTGAAAGGTTATTACTGTAGTAAAACTGGAACCACAACCCTTATTTCTGTATTAGACTGTAGCAATAGGTTTTAAAAATTTTATAAAGAAACGTGGCAACTTGTAAAGCTGCTCTATACAGTTTAACAAAACATTTCCAGGTCAGTTTAGCCAAAAGGACCTAGAATGACCCTATAACAACTTCGGACCTAGAATGACCCTATAACAGCTTCGTCCTTTTAACACTTGTTAGTGTCGAGATGAACGCCATTTCCCATCTCGGCTGTTGTCTCGTCTGTTGTCATAGTCGTGGCTCCAGCCATCAGGATTCCTATCCTCACTGAAGCAGTCATCCCTGCTTCCTCTGTAATGATGATCAGACCCATGGTCGGTGTACCACTGTTCACGGCTATAATGCCGATCCGGGATGTAGGGATGAGAATTCTGTCTGACTTTACGTTGTGATGATGGCGTATCTTGGCGCCACTGGGAGCTTGAAGACTGGTTAAAACTATGACTATGCGATGGGGAAAATCCTGATGGATCCAGATGTGGAGAACCAAATTTCCCACCATAGGACATCTGTCTCAGAACACTATTCATCTAAGAGAAGACAAAAAGGGAATGTTAACTACAAGTATTTCTAGGTATCAAAGCCAATACATATTTAGTCACAGTGAACCCAACACATAATGATGGAAAAGCAAAATTACTCTTGCCCATATAGATCGTAGGTTAAACAGAACTCAAAGTAAAAAAAAAAAAAAAAATACAATGGCTTTGTTCATTCCAATGTATACCTGTAAGCTATTTGTACATAACTACTACTCCTTGCCCTCAAGAATACAACTTAGAAGGGAAGAGGTCATACAAATGATTATAATGTAAATCACTGTCTAATGAACACATAAAGAGCCAAGAGCTCAGGAACATGAGGAAAGGCTTCACGAAGGTGGCATTTTTATCTAAGTATTAAAAGTGTGGATGGAATATTTTAAGGGGGAAGTATACCAAGGAAAGGAAATTGCAAAGATAATAAGGAAACAATGAGTTTGTAGAATAGCAAGAATTCTGACTGATAACAGATCTCATAAGCAGTGAATAATGGAGTTAGGCTAGAAAGGTTTATTGGCATCAGATGACGGGAGTGCCTTATAAGTAGGCTAGAGAATTCAGACTTTATCTTACAAACGATAGAAAATCAAATTACCAGGAAGACAAGCAAAACAGGATTGTAACATTCATTTTGAAACATTGTGAGATGTGAGATGGGCTAGTGAGGAGAAAACGGAGACAAGTACGAACTGACTAGACCAGTGGTCCCCAATGCTGCCTGTGGATAAGCATTAGCCAGTCATGATTTTTTTAAATAGCCTATACCACAATGAGAAAAATATGTGGTATTTACATAAAAGTTGACATCCCCTTATATTGGTCCCTCAAGTTTACTTTATTTCACTTATATTTTTATTTTGTAGACCTGCAAAAAGGTGAGGGGTCACAAGCCAACACTGCGATTTGGGCAAAGAAAAAAAGAAGAAATGAATTCAAGAAAAGGAAAAAAATAAAGGATTTGGTGACAAAATGAAAAAAATGAAAGACTGGAGACAAAGATGGAACAGTAAAACACACCAAAGATTTTAAGCCTATTCTCACAGTCTCGTTATTACAGAAAAAATGGAAATGAAGGGGAAACTGGTCAAAGAGTCCAATCAATATATTCAAGTACTGTTATTAAGCATTAAGGAGAATGTACGGTAAGAAGCTCTTCAGCATAGGTTGCAAGAATATCAGAGAATAAATTTCCAGTCCTTGAAACACACACATACACCCCCAACCCCCAACAATGGCTGAAGAAAAATACAAATGTGAAATGCAGTTCTTCTATTTATCTTCAATCTGTTAAACATGTTTTTCAGCCCAGTGAAAATCAAAATGGGTGATCAACCTACAGAGATCATGCTAGTCTAACTAACTTGGAACATTATTTAAGAATCATTTGAACATTTTTTAAAACATTTATTTTAGAGAGAGAGAGTGAGCGAGCGCATACAAGCACACATGCACACCCAAGTAGGGGCAGGGGCAGAGAGAGAGAGAGAGAGAGAGAGAGAGAGAGAGAGAATATCAAGCAGACTCCCCACTGAGCACAGAGCCGGAAACAGGACTCGATCTCACCACCCTGAGATGACCTGAGTCAAAATTAAGAGTCAGATGCTTAACCAACTGAGCCACCCAGGCACCCCTGTTTGAACATTCTAAGTTTTTGGGGTTTTTTTTTTTTTTTGAAGATGTCTGAGTTTTAGTCAACATTTTTGCACAACCTCTAGAGACATTATTTAACTTCAGTTATAAGTGACCTTTAGACCCAACAAATATGTCTCAAGAAGTGTATTTTAGTTTATTTGCAAAGGAAAGTAAATGAGTGATAAATTTTTACAGCCGTGAGAGAGATGCAAGTTTGTAGCATAATGTTGTTAATTGGCTGATAAATTTAGACTGGGTGTTCAAAGAATTAAGGTTTCAGCAAGCGTTCAATATATCAAAATGTGACTATTTTTGGGAAGCTGAGTTTAAAACCCTCAAAGTACATAAATCACTGGCAAAAGCAATTACAACTTCTGCTTTTGTCTTTGTAAGACAAAAAACTTCTTGTGACAAATTTTGAAAACTTCATAAACTGAATTGTATTTGCAAGTGTACATCGTATTGTTGCGTTGCATAATTATCATATAACGTGATACTTCAAAAACCTAATCATGATTTTCTGGGTTTTCTATTTTAATTATATTGTGTTGCTCTTTTTCATTAAATTTTCTGTGTAACACTCCACGGTTTCAAATTTTAGCAGGCTGCAACTTAATCTCAGTCCTGCCTTTGCTAATTTTATGACCTTTCTAACCCTTAATTTTCCTATATAACAGGGCATATATCTCAGTTACCCTGAAAAATAAGTAATATATGTAACACTTTTAGGTGATATTGCCTGACACATATTAATTAATCAATACACTGTAACTATTTTTATTTTTGTAGGGACTTCATTTATGTGTGTGTGTGTGTGTGTGTGTGTGTGTGTAAGCTACTTAAAGGCTTAGTCTAGACATTTGGGTAACCCCAGTTCTAGCTCTAGTAGATGCTAATCAAGGTCTAATTTGTTTTAAATTCAAAAATTTGATAATTTACTCATCATGAAACTAACTTTTTAGGTAACACCTTAGAAATTATTCAATTTGTAGAAGACTGCATGGTATTTTTCATGGCTACTAAGAGACTAGCTTGTCTGTACCTGTGAGTAAATAGCACAACAAAGACATGTGCTAGTTTTTTTAATAAAAGGAATTATTACTTTATTTAAAAAGAAAAAAGAAAGGAAAAGAAAAGAAAAAAAATAAGGGGCGCCTGGGTGGCTCAATCAGTTAAGCATCTGCCTTCGGCTCAGATCATGATCTCCAGGTCCTGGGATCAAGCCCCATTCGGGCTCCCAGCTCAGCAGGGAGTCTGCTTCTCTTTCTCCCTCTGCCTCTGCCCCTCCCTTGCTTGCGCTCTGGTTGTCTCTCTCTCAAACGAATAAATAAAATCTTAAAAAAAAAAGAGAGAGAGAAGAGAAATATCAACCTACCACTGCTTGTCTCTGAAAATTTTCTGGAGAAGAGAAAGATCTCTGAATTATCTGTACTGATGGAGTCATGTTATCCACAGTCCTTTCATACCTGTGAAAAATAAGAAAACCAACATATAATCATCAGTTTAACATATATTTACTACATACCAATCATGAGCAAGACACAGTGTCAAAGGTAGGAATGAACAAGACAAGGTATCTATCTGCTCTCATGGATAAGGGTAAGGATTCAGACAGTAAAACAACTTCATCTTGTTACAAGTGATATAATAATTGATTAAAAAGCAAGTAATGGGATAGATATAGGGGTTCTATTTCAGCTCTGCTGGTCAGGGATGGTCTTTCTAAAAATGAGACACATCTGAAGTGAAAACTAAGTAACAAGATTACCTGGAGACAAAACATTCCAGCTGAGGGAAGAATTAGCACAGGGGTAAGCAAGCTATAGAGCCTGTGGGCCAAACCCCGTTTTTCTAACACTCCTGTCTGTTTTATCTATGTAGTGTTACAATGACAAAGAAAAAGAAAAAAAAAGTATGGCCTGTAAAGTCTGAAACATTAACCATATGGCCCTTCACAGAAAAAAAAAACAAAAAACCTTGTCAAACCCAGGACTAGGGCAGAGGCCTAGGTTGAAAACTAAGATGAAAGGATTTGGTTGATTAGATATGACAGATGAAGGAAAAAGAAAAATAAAGGATAAAATCCAGATTTTTGGCTTGAGCAATTATGTGGACATTTACTGTGAGGGGGAAGAGGAACAGGTCTGGGGGAGCAAGAAATTAAGAGTTCTGTAACATAAATAGGATATTAATTTTAAAGAATTATACCTATTCTCAATTCCTAAAAAAGTAGCTTGCTCTACAGAAAAAGTCACTTTAGCAAGTGCTTTAATTTTATTTTAAAATACTTAGCATCAAATCACTAACTGATTTGTCTCATAGTTTAGATCTTTTCATTTTGGGTTTTCTTAAATCCGGTTAGACACGTGTATGTTAAAGGGGTAAAAAGTATAAATTTCCTTTTTTTTTTAAGATTTTATTTATTTATTTGGGAGAAAGAATGAGAGATAGAGAGCATGAGAGGGAAGAGGGTCAGAGGGAGAAGCAGACTCCCCGCCGAGCAGGGAGCCCGATGCGGGAACTCGATCCCGGGACTCCAGGATCATGACCTGAGCCTAAGGCAGTCGCTCAACCAACTGAGCCACCCAGGCGCCCCTATAAATTTCCTTTTAAGAAAACAAAAACGATGTGCACTCTAGCCTTAAATTAAAAACAACTTATTTACTTGTATATTTTTTTCCAAAGAAATTCTCAGGGAGGTAAAACTTTTTTCCTCCACCTGAGATACCTTTGAAGCTTCTACAAAAGTGGTTTGAGATGCTTCAAGTTCCAAATGTGCTGAGAAGTATTTAAACACAATTTCAGTTGGCAAGAAAGGTTGCTAAGAGGTACCATTTTTACACTATTCTTTCTTGGAAATTTTACTTTCCAGTTATCTTTTCATACTGAAGCGACTTCGCTCCACATCCTGGCACCACCCTAATCCAAACCAACAACCTCACCCTAATAACTTCCTTGCTATCTTGCTACTAATAGCAATACTTAGCTACCAATAGCTTCCTAACTGGTCTATTTTCAGCCTTGTCCCCTCCAATGAGCCATTCTCCCACAGGAACCAAACAACTTATTAAAATACAAACCTCTTCTTGTTACTATCCTACTGAAAACATTTCAATGTGTCTCTACTGTTTTTAGGAGAAAATTCCCAAATCTTAACTATGGTCTGTAGGAAAGATCCTCTTTCTACTTCACCAACATCATCTACTACTCCATTTTTCCTTCATTATCATCTAGATACATCTGCCTCTTTTAGTTCCTAATGCATTTATATCATCTCTCCCTGTTAGACCTTTCTCCAAGCACATTCTATGATTTCTTTAGAGAACTTATTAAACAGGTAGTCGCCAAATATATATGTATCTTCCTATAGACTTTTAAGCTTCACTATGCAGCCTATGACAGTGGCTGGGGCTCAGTCACAATGCCTGGGTTTCAATCCCAGCCCACTGTTCATGAGCAGTTCAAACTTGAGCAAGTTAATGTCAGTCTTCACTTTCAATAGAAGGTAGAACTAACAATAATCCCTACCTCCTAAGACTGCTGTGAGAAATAAAACCATAAATGCAAAGGACTTGGTGAAGAACCTGACACATGACAGATATTTGTTGACTCTTTCTTGAATGAAGCCCATTATGACTGATGAATAGCTCTACCGATAAACCAGGGGGAAAAAATGTCCCTGGTAAAATATTACGCTTCCCAAAGCAAATAAAATTATTTAGTATAAACATGGTACCTTTTCTAACCCTTAGTAGCTGGAAGAGACTCTGGAGAGCATTCAATTCAGCTTTTCCTTACAAATGGAAGGACAGGACCAGAGAAATGAGACTACTTCAAGATTACACAATCAGAGAGGCAGACCTAGAATCCAATTCTATAAACTCTTAGTCCACCAGTCTGTTACTGATAGGTACTTTTAAACTGCAAGTAACAACAAATTAGTGATCAAAACTAATTTGAATTTTTAAAAGAAAATAAAATAGAAAATTGAGTATACTGAAAGTAGAGAATAAGTAATGTTCTGGGAAATTTCCAGTTACATATTAAATATGTGGCTATGGGTATATGTCTTCACAAATGAACGTAATTATAGGTTCATATATATCTATTTTAGGGGTACTATGTGTCTGTAGTCCCCTTAAAATAGATACCTAATTATAATCCAAAATATAATATAGCAGAAAAATAAAGAAGTAGGCACTTAAAGAAGGAAACAAATCTCTCAGTATGTTTTGAGATCACTACCTAAAAAATTTCTAATAAATGATTTTAACAACAGGTCCAAAATATTACCTGCTAGGAGATGTAGAGGTAGGGCTTGAGTTTCCAACATGATGCTGGGGATATGGCAAACTGACATCCTGTGAGGCATGGCTACTTCCTAAAATGAAGTAATTTGAGAAATTATCCTTGACAGAACAAGTTGAAATTTTATCCCTCCTACCCCAAAACATGCCAAAAAGGTAGACTGAAGCTACAAGAGAAAACTTCAAATTTCACTAGACCGCTTTACAGGTTCATCAGAATGAAAATTATGTGTTTAGTATCAGATACATCCAAAACAAAGGGTTCCAAATAAGTACTATCCAATGTACAAATATCCAATCTGGCCACAACATTCTGATCCCCACACTAAATTTTAACTGGATACATGGAAAGTTTCATCCTCACGTGATCCAGAATCAAAATTTGTAAATGTAAATCACAAAGCAGCCAGGAAAAGTATTTTTAGAAAACAACCTCACTCTTTTCAGAGCAGGAACCCAAACCCAAGTCTTCCTAACAACAAAGTTTATGCTCTCTTTAGTAACCCAAACTCAATTCAAAAATGACGATTTTCAAAATCCATGTTGTCAACGTTATCTAGTTTCAGGGATATATAAAGCTTACTACCCACAAAGCTTAAAGTATTTTCATCCAACAAGAGGTTCTTTAAAAATTGAGTAATAAAATTAAAAACAAAGAACAAAGCAGCAAAAAACCCGTCTCCCTAAACAATAACACTGAACAGTTACCTGATCTAAATTGAATTTTGATGGGCCTCCCAAAAAGTTTGATTCCATTAAGTAGATTCATCGCATAAGGAACAGATACTTCATGTTTGAAATTCACAAATGCGAACTGTTTTGGTTTACCATCCTTATCTTTTGGAATTTTCACTTTTACTACCGGTCCAGCCTACAAACAAAAGAAAGTCTTCAGAATTTAAATGAGGAAGTTTAAAAACAACAGAAATGTAACCAGGAAAAGTCTAAAAAATGGACTCACAGGGATTTCCACCTCAATTAAACACTCTATAGATATGACTCAACACTTGATTCACTTATTTGGGGAAGGAAGCCTATAAGGAACTGGAAACAGTCACTCAGTTTACATTTCATATGACTTTTTAACAAGGCAACCAACATCCACCACTTTCCCACTCCAGGTACCGTTTATCAAGAGCTAGAAAAAGTGGTTTCCTTGGACTAAAAATTCACTTTTGTACTGATTAACCACATATTACCAGTTGTTAGAGAATGGAACTGGAAAGAACAAGAAATTCTGAATTTTTAACACATTTTAATGCAGATTCAAATACAAAAACACTACGAGTCTGCTGTTCTATGAAGTAGTCTATTTTAAATTATTTTAACGCTGCGATTAATTAAAAAAAAAAACTTAAATGGAAACAGATACTAAACAAGCAACTGAAATCTAATTAGCCAGATAAACCGAAGACAAAGTGCCTTAAGGGGAAGGATGACAAGCAAAGGAATAGGAAAAAGCCCTGCTCCACGAAGAACCCCCACATATCGTGCCCCTTCGGATCCTTGAATCTTTACCTCGGGAATGCTTCACTGAGGAAGCCTCCACCACCCTGGAGTGAACTAAGGTTCTTCCCATAAAGCGACACCCAGCGAGCGCCTCACTTTCCTAGTGGACCTCCGGCCCCAAGCGGCCCACCCGTCGGGCGCCCGGACCCACAGACCCCCTTTCCCCAAGAAGGCGGGCATGACCGGCGGACTGGGCCGTATGGGAGCCGTATAGCGAAAGGAAAAGCCTGCTGTCGGCCGCTGACCTGGTGGAAAAGCTCGAAGAGGAGCTCCTCGGTCACTTTAGTTTCAAGGTTGCCCACAAAGAGAGTGCGATCCGCTTCCGCCGCCGCCGCCCCCATCTCAGCGTCGCCCCCTCCCTAAAAAGGCCGAGGGGGTCGTCGCCGTCGCACTTACTGCGCACTCTCGGAAACCCCACGTCCTTGCCCTCCTGGGCGTCACGGACGTAAACGTCAATCGCGCTCGCTCCCGGCCGGAGCCGCGGCGCACGGACGCGCTGCGCATGCTCGCGAGGAGAGCGCCGGGGAGAGGCGGCTCCTGGGTCGGCCGCGGCTCTACCTATGGCCGCTCGTTTAGGCGGTGGCGGCGCTCGAGACGGCCTCCACTGATCTGTGGAGCCGCGAAGGGCCCACCTTGGCCGAGGGACGTAACAAACACTGCGGGCAGTGTTTGAAGATGGCGCTGAACAACGTGTCCCTGTCCGCCGGCGATCAAAGGACCAGGGTGGCCTACCGCGCGTCCCAGGGCGACCTCAGCCCGTCGGCCTTAGCGCTGGCGATGGTCTCCGGAGACAGCTTCCTCGTTGCCAGGCCCGAGGCTATACTTTCAGGACCCACTCCTCGTCAGGCCCTGCGGCCGAGCGTTCGTACCGAGAGCGGTCGGACGAGTGCGGGCGGCCGGGGCCCGACCCGCTTTGTAAAGGGAAGGGAACCTGGTGGACAGAGCCGGGGCAGCCATACCAGATTCTCACCGTATCCGACCCCCGGGCTTAAATTGGATCTCCTGGGGAGCCTGCTGCAACAGCGGCTGATTGCCATTGGAAGTGTTATCGCAGCGCACCTCTCGGCTTAATACCCTCCTCTGCCCCTCGACTCGCTTGTAAACAAGGCCTCCCTAAAATCCTTCCTTGGTGCCTTGGCAGTCTTATTTTCAGAGGGATGTATTTTCGTTTTAATATAAAAACACGCAGGAGTCAGGTTAATACGGCTTAGTACGGAGGAAGATTCTCACCGCTGAATTCCGGTTTGGGGCGGCCAGAGTGATTAAATCAGGAAGGAGGTAGACGAGATTTTCTTCTTAGTCACAAAGCTGAACCACCCTTCCCAGAGGTCTGCAGTCATTTTTCACCCCTGGTGCACTCCATCCCAGCAATGGACCCAAATTTCTCTGCTTTCCACAAACCTTCTCTCCCACCCTGGCAGATTCTCCTACCTTGAGACTTGTGATTGGAAACGGCCTACGCCTCTACCCCAGACTATTGCCATTACGTTTACTTCTGCTGCTGAAAAGGAAATGCTTCTTTTTACTCCCCTGGCTTACTCTTCCGTAGGGCCTGAGGCTTATCCAGTCCTCTTGCCTTTAACCCTTTTCCATCTCCCTCCACTTTTTCTTCAGGAATATCTGCAAACTCCAGTCTCGGTCATAACCAAAAACAAAAGCAAACCTAAACTTTGCTGCTTTTTCACATTATTAAGCTAGTTTCACTTCTTTTTCTGCCAAAGGCTCCAAATGAGTTTTTACATTTCTATTTGTCATTTTATTATTAGCATTCAATCCCAGTTTCCTTAATCTGAGTCTGTTGTCCCGAAACAGAATGGTGGATAATTTAGGCTTACAGTCTCCTGTTAGGAAGCGGTTCATCAATTCACTGTAGCATCTTCCCCAAATGTTCTTGTTTATTTTTATTCATTCACCATTCAACAGTATTTGAAGATCTTCCCAGTGGTGAGCACTGTGGATAAACTACAGTCAAGGAATGTATTCTAGATAGGGAGGCTAATAAATCAATAGGTAATCACCACACTGGACAGTTCATTAGGTGCAGTGATAACAATAGCATTGGTTGCAGTGGCTCTCCATGACACTGTACTATCCTGGTTCTACCTGGCTGATCACTCCTTATTTTCTGATATTTTTATTCTCTTAACCATATATTTCCTAAGGTTTAAAGGGTGGTATGGGGAGAAAATTAGTGGGGTTTTTTAAGTGCCAACTCTGTAAGCAGGTAGACTAGCTTTTTCCCAGTGCACTCTTACGTATAATTATGATCAGGTAAAGCAAAATTACCACATACCACACAGTACTGAATTGTTAGAACCACATCTGAAGAAGAATGTTGGTAAATCCCAAGAGCTTCCATAAGAGAGTGATTAATATGGTGAGAGATCTGGAAACCAGGTCATAGAAAAAAATGGTTGAAAGGATAATAACAGCTATGTTTTATTGAGTGCTATGTGTAAGGCAATGTTGTAGAGGCTTTTATTCATTATTTATTCAGATATTTATTGAGAACTTATTCTGTGCCTGATATGACCTGTATTAGGCATTTAGAATAAAGTGAACAAGTTCAATAACGTCTCTGCTTTGGTGGAGCTTTATATATGTCATTTAATTCTCACAATGGCCCATAAGAGAGATATCATACTTCATTTTATTGCCCAGAAACCAAGGCACAAAGAGATGAAGTAAACTTTCCAAGGTCATCCAGCTAGTCAGCAATAGAGCCTTGCAGCTCTGCCATCCAGTTCCCTCATTTGAACCATGCCATACAAAAAGTTATTTGAGTAACTATTTTCTCAGGTCTCCCAAAGACAGCATATATCTAATACTCTTCTAACCTAAAAGATTCATTGATGATATACGATGGGTGCCTTAGACTGGGCATTACAAAAACCTGTAATTGAGAAAGGAATCCCAAATCTATTTGTTAACGAGTTTTAGACTGGGAAGAATAATAAAATTAAGGCTAAAGGTAAGAAGTGTTTTCATAAAACTTAGAGATGCCTAATAGTGAAAAATAACACCTCACAAGGTAAGTTCAGCCAAAAACTTCAGAGAGAGGCTGAATACTATCAACTATGAAATAGGATTATGTCTTCTTAGATCTTCCCCCATTTAACCTATAATTCTGTACTTTGAAAAATAAACTTGTTAAAATGAGAAGTGGAGAACCGAATGAGAAGAGGAAAACGAGGTATAATACACAGGATGACCATTTTACTGTACAAACCAGGACACGAGAGTGGGAGAGGGTGCTATCAACTATGCTGAGGCAACAGGCGTGAATAGAGGCTGTTCCAGGCCAGCTAACCCTAGGAGTAGGAGAAAAGCTGCGATTTGCAAATGAAGAAACAAGGTTCTGGCATAAAAGTGCACATGAGAAAAGGAAGAACCCAAGGGGAGTGATTTCATTTCTGTTTGTTTAGGTGTGAGATCATCAGGAGTAGGGCTTTGATTGAATAATAGTGTATATGTGCCAGAGGAAAAAAAAGAAAAAAAATGTGTGGTTTATTGTGCTTTGTTTGACAGGAGGAGACCCTTGTTCACATAAATGTTCCATCATTTTAAATCTGAGCCAATGAATATCTAAATTCTCCTTAGCATCTGTGCTAGTGTCCAAGTTACAGTGAGTCGCAAAGACCGTATCATGGAAGCAAGAACCAATGTAAACCTCTGTCAATGAAATTACCTTGAAGTAGAGACAAAGTTTTCCCAAGAACAGTCCATGTCATTAAAAATGTTAGTGTACAAAACAAATATTTAACATCAGTGGTGAAGTATAGCATGTTGGCATTCGAAAATAGATGCATTTTCTAAGAGTAACAAAAAAAACAGTCCAAAAAATCAATACTTAACGTTAGTTTAAAAAAAATTGTAAATTCCTGTTTGTTTTTTATTGTCTCGTATTTATCATATCATAGTAACTGACTAGCATGTGTTGAAAGTGGAATCCTATTAGAATATTTACTTTCTCTATTCATCAGCACTAAAGCTCTTAGAAAGAATGCCCACTAGGGATATAGGAAAAAGAGGCCAGGAGACTTTCCCTCAGTATCTGGATTTCATGATAAGCCTTACCTCTAAAGTGGGGTACCTTGGAAGAAAAGGAAAGGAGGGAGGAAAGTCCTACAGGAAGGATGAGTAAGTTAACTTTTGATGGTCAGAGGCTTGGCTGTCTTGCGAGCAAAATTGGTTGTCTTTCATTCCTTCAGTGAATCCAGATCCTGTTAAGGTACAGCTTAGAAATAGACTTCTTTGTCGAAAGACGAGATCAATACATTTGACAAGTGGTACGTGTTTTATCACCTTGTTAGGGAGTCATGGTGTATAATAATATGTTAAATGTTCTGATAATTCCTTTAGAAAAAGAAAGCTGTTTAACTTCATTTTCACCAGGGTTTCACAAATTTATTTGTCCATAAGTTTAAAATTTTTGCATACTACCTCTCTTCCAAATGAGCCTCAGTTCTACAGAAACATAATTCTATATGCTGCCTTACTTGAGAAGTTTCATTGGCTCCCCATGTCAGGTATTAGAAATGGACTTTTATATAATTAGCAGAATTGCTAAGTTTCCAGAATGTTATTATAAGTCAGGCATATTGGTTGGTTTCCTCACTCGTGGTTTGATAAGATTCAATCTTTATTCCACATGATGACTGTTACCCATCATTGTCCTTGGTGAGTGGGTGGGAGGAGGGAGGCAAACACGCAGCTGCAGATTCCCCAGCCACTGAGGATACAGACTGGTATTGTCACTAAGGGAAGGTATTAGGAACATCCCCTGATGAAACTTACTTCTTAAGCATGCTAATAATGTAATATTTTTTTAAAATGTAATGATTTACTTGGCTGTTAGCTTCACTGGAATATCTGAAGACAGCCCTTCTTCAAAATACACTTCTAAATGAGAAGAAAATACTGCCTTCAGCTTCCCAAAGACCTGAGAGTAACTGAAGCAATGCCACTCTTAAAAATTGCAGACTCCACAAACTGACTTTTAAGACTTTACAAAATCTGACCAGGCTACATTGCCAGCCTTCTTTCTCATAATGTGCCCACGTGGCTGCTGTTCTTTCCTGCCGCTGTGCCTATGCCTATTCTAGTCCCCTTAACGAAGTCGTTTGTACTTCTTGTTTTCTGCCAGTTAAACTTCTATCCATCCAGATTGGTCCAGTTTCTTTACATTACAAAGGACACACCCATTTTAACAAAGGTTAAGCAAAAAATGGACCAGACTGACGCCGAGAGCTGGAAACATGCAGAGAATATGGGATGTTCTGTCCATTAAGCAACTATTTATCCTCTAAGAGCACCTTGGTTTTTCTTTTCTGTGGAGCCGCCTCCCTCATCCTCCATTCATGTATCTGGGGAGAAGCTTAACACCTACCTCCAGGTTTAGAGTTATAATCCATGTCTTACCTCTTCTACTACCTTGAAGCTCCCTGAGAGCAGACAACAT